TACTGTCACCTATTGTAGATACTCATACTTTTTCTTTATACTATTGTCCATGATGGTCGTTTTCTCTCATAAGATGAGAAATGCAAGGGATAGCTGCGATAATATCCCATTTTCATCTGTCGGATGAAACCTTAAAAGTTTGGCAATATACTATATTGAATAAACAGGCACCGTTATGTACTGCTAATGAGATTGTAAAACTAGTACAATCTCTATGGAGGGTATCTATCTATTTAGATAGATAAATATCTATCTAAATAATAAATATAATTACTATTCGATACAGAAAATTTCTGGAAATGAATCTTACATATATACTTGCACAGAAAAATGATACATTTATAACTTTATTCATTGCAGTATTTATTTTGTAATAGAAAAATCCTGGGAAAAATTAAGTGCTTATTAATTGGAGGCTAGTGAAATACACTGTGAAATACTCAATCAATGGAGTACTATGCAGCTGTTAAAAAGTAAAGAAATTTCCTAAATACCGTAATGGGAAAATTTTCTACTTTTATTACATAAAAAATGCAATATGCAGGACATTGTGTATGGTATGATACCTTTTGTATAAAAAGAAGAAAAGTAAAAAAAAAATCTGTATACATACATGTGTATTCAATTTGCCTGTATATGCATAGGAAACTCTAGGCAGATATCCAAGAAACTAATAAAAATGATTACCTATATTCTGGAAAAGGATGGGAACTAGGAGGATGAGGAACAGGATAGGATAGGATAGGATAAAAATGAAAGTAATGAAAATATTTAATAATGTTTTCTTCTGTTGATTATATTGTACATATGAAAACAGCATAATTTTAAAATTCATTATGGAAATGCAAAATTCATTAAACTAAAGTAATTTTCTATCATTTACCTGAAGTAGGGCTCTAATCGGGGTTGCTTAATGGAGTTTTGCTTGAGCAAAACTAAGTGGTTATTACTTTAACAATTGCCTATGTTTTCATGATATTCTCTGAAATAGATTCTCTGTACTCTTTTCATATATTCTATCCCCAAATCAAAACAGACAAGTATTAGACATTGTTTCCTTTTGAAGAATCCCAGGTGCTAATCTTTACTTCTTTGGGACATTTTTTTAAAAAGTCAATTTTTAGGAATAGATGAAGGAATCCTTTGTTTTACAAATTTAAAACTCAAAAGATGGAGGTATTTCCAATGAAAAATGAAGTTAAGTCAATCTAGAAACAACAAAAGAAACACTTTTTCAAAGTATTTCTGTGTTTAGCCTATTACTATACGTGCATTAAAACAAGAGCAATAAATACTCGTCAACATTATTGCTACTAAGAACTTAAAAAAACAAAGAGGTTTACTCCATCTAGAGATACTTAAGTTACTCTTGGTTTTTGGAGAATCCCTCTTGAAGTATGAGTAAAATAAGGACACATATGAGGTTCTTCATTATAGCTGTGGTGCTAGTGAAATGGGTTTGTGGGTCCATCCTGAATTGATTATTCTCCATTAAGGGAAGAGATAATCAAAGGATTTAAATATCGTTCCCTTGTGATTAATCCACTCATTAATATTACTGGGATCATATTTTCAAATCACAGAGTACAATGGCATTTAATGAACTTAAAGTACCTAGATCACAATTTCATACTTACTTTGTTTCCAATTATATAATTAACCCTGTGTAGCAGATTTTAAGGAGGCAGCAAGCACCCTTTAAGAACAAACTATCCATTTCTTTTATTTAAGCCTTGAGCATTTAATTAGAAAATTTTGACTTCTAATCAGTTAATTTCTTAATTTAAAATCTGTAGGGTCAATGTGGAGCAGATGGATTTAGAAGCTCATATATCTTTACATGTGAACTGACTTAATAGTTTTCATTTCTTTAGAGGGAATATCCAAGTCCTGGGAGTTCAGATGCTGCTCATGATTGTTGTCTACAAAAATAATGGGGGTGTGACTCAGAACACATTAGCATTATTCTTTTTTTTTCTTTTCTTTCTCCTTTTGGAGAAATATATGATAGAATATTTCGTAGCCACTACCTTTCCACAGATGCGATTATAAAAGGGCCCAACCTCCTTTGTCTTAATAAATTTGGAAATTTAGAAATTAAATGTCTGAAGCTTATAGTGTATCTGGGTACATTTAAACTATTCTGTATTCTCAATTCTGTTCCACAAAAACATAGACATATGGGGAAATCACATAAACTATAATCGAAATGAAAGGACTTTATTTCCTTTTCCTATCTGGTCTACATGCACCACCTGGTGGTAAAGTAGTACATTTCAAGTGCTCTGTGTGTGTGTGTGTGTGTGTGTGTGTTGGGGATATTAACATGGGAAAAAGGATTTTAATATACATTCCTAAATACTGATTTAGATTAACAATGCAATTATTCTGCAACAAATATCTAATAAAGCACTAGAACACTACTATGTATGTACTAGAACAAGAAGTAAAGGGGAGAACAACTCATGCTGGAAAATAAAATAGCTTTCTCTTATTTACATTAGCTATAGCTCATAATTTCATCCCTAAATTAACACTTATTTATTGTGCTAATGTTCTTATTGAGGCAAGAATCAAATATTGATAACCAATGTAAAACCATTTTCTTTATTTTTAATTTGTAAGAATAATAATTTTTACAAGTATGTATCCTCTTATATCGGTAGTTAGTAAAAGTCACAAGTCACAGAATTTTACAACTACAGGGCTCCATATAATCATTTAGACTAATACACTACTTTTACAAATGTAGCAGCTGAGATTCAGGAATGTCAAGTGACTTGCCTAAGGTCATACTGGTAATTAGTGGCCCAACCCAAATAAGAACCTAAGTCTTCTCACTTTCAGTCTAGGAATATAAGATATAAAAATTTTATTCATATACAATTATGAAATATCTCTGTATGAAGAGATATACCCTCAACTCAGCTATACAGTGCTTTAGGACCCTAAGATGTGAGTTAATACATTTTAGTAGTTTTATTCTAACATTCCAAACAGAAAGGAGTAATAGTAGAAATGGATGCATCATCAAGCTATGAAAAAGATTTTCTATTAAAAATCCCTTTTATATATATGTTCACAGGAATATTTTTCAACTTATATACAACTTATAAGTTGTAAAGATGGTCTAAAAGATTCTCTTTCTCCTTGTAACTGCTTCAGAATCAGAGAACTGTTTCTACAAAGTAGATACCCACTTGTAGATTTAAGCATAAACCAAGTTCATAGCTCCCTCTCATGACCATTGAATGAATACTATACAAGCCTCCTTTATTCTCACAGTTGTATTCAACTAACAGCTCACTGGTTAAGTTTTAATTGCTTCCAATGAGGTCAGCAAAGGTATTTATCGAAAAGCCCTGAATAAAAGGCTCCACACACATAACACACAAGCATACACACGCTCACACACACAGAGAAAATCCTCTTGCCTGTTGATTTATGGAAACAATTATGATTCTGCTGGAGAATTTCTCAGCTGAGAAATAGTTTGTAGCTACAGTAGAGAGGCTCAAGTTGCACAAGGCAGACAACAGACATGGAATTCTTGTGTATCCAGCTGTTATCAACAGAACAAGTAAGTTACTGTTATTTGTCTTTAAAAATAATGCTGAATGTTTTCTAGTAGTTTATCTCTTTCTCTGATCTTAGTACTGAGGGCGAAAGTAAAGTTACCAGATTTTTGAGCCATGTAATTACCTATAGTGATTACGCTGTAGAATTTACATAAAGATAAGGTTGAAGTTCTCCAGAGTGATCCTGACATTTAACTTGAGAAATGTGGGCAGTTCAGGGGAAAATAATTGATTAACCACTAATGTAAAAGCATATAATAAAGAAATCTAGGGAAAGCATTTTTACTTTGTTAATAGTAATTTTAGAACTTAATTTAAACCAATAGCTCTAATTGAAGGATGTTTCTTATCAAATAGCAACTGGAATGAATGGTACAATCATATTGTGATTTATCTCTACCAATGCATAACTTTCATAAATCTACATATAGAGTAGTAAAGATGTTGACATCCTGTGAAAGCTGTTTTAAATGTATCTTCACAGCACAAATTACACTGTGTTATACTATTTATCTACTGAAATTTATACATACAATTTTTCATCTTTCTCTCTCCTCCCCTCCCTATTTTTAATCTTTCATTGCAAACAGAATTCAAGTAGCAAACAGCGTCGCAGCAACTGAGCTTACTACAACCTGCTTTTATAAGGATATACTAACAGAGAGTTTTAAAAGGAGGACTCCTGTATTGTTATCAGGAACTAAAAGGATAAGGCTAACAATTTGGAAAGAGCAATACTCATTCTTAAATCAATCTACAATTCACAGATAGGAAGAGGTCAATGACCTAAGGGCAACAATCAACTCAAGATTTAATTTTCATTATGTTATTCATGAACACCCGGAGCACTACACTATAATGCGCAAATGGATACTGACATGGATCCTGCCAACTTTGCTCTACAGTTCATGCTTTCACATTATCTGTCTAGTGGGCACTATATCTTTAGCTTGCAATGACATGACTCCAGAGCAAATGGCTGCAAATGTGAACTGTTCCAGCCCCGAGCGACATACAAGAAGTTATGATTACATGGAAGGAGGGGATATAAGAGTGAGAAGGCTCTTCTGTCGAACACAGTGGTATCTGAGAATTGATAAACGAGGCAAAGTCAAAGGGACTCAAGAGATGAAGAACAATTACAGTAAGTAATGTCTTTTATTTACAGCAGTACTTATGAATCTTAACAATTTGTGAAAAGATCAATTTTCAAGTGACATGCTTTTGCAGTTTCCTTTCTTATTTTTTTAAAAAATTAAATATCATCTTCTAATTTCTCTAAATTGGGATATTTGAACTATGTTCCTAAAAAATCTCTTAGAACAGGAAAAATTTACTATGCTATAGTTGGAGCTGATAACCCAAGCTTGCTTGAAAATATATTCTCTATGTCCTAAGCTCAAAATTCTCATGCTAAGCAAGGTATAAATAATATTATTCACACTGAAATATGATTTATTGTTTGCTAGCAAAACTCATCAGGAACTTTAAAAGAGTACTCAATAAATGCTCACCAAAAACTACTTTGTAGTTTGAGAAACAGAGAATTTATTTTTTAAAAACTAATTTGGTTTTCTTTGAAAAAATATTCCTGTGATGTAAAATACTTAATCTGTGCTCAAGAATGCATTTAGTAACTTTGTGCAACTGCATATAGTTATAAAACAGAAGGGAATCTGTGGTATCCTCATCTGTTCATAATGAGCATGCATTGGATTGATTAATTATTTACCTAGGTAGAAAAAATAGGTTCCTCCTAACATTTTCTTTATCTAAATCTTCTATGCCATATTTCTGTGTTACCTTAAGAGAAATTGTAAATGTGAAGGAAGAAATGGAAGTGATCTGGAAAAGATGTTAATTCCATGATTTACAATTAGCAAGCCTGACATTTTCCTCAGGAATCAGTTATTCTTTTCATGTTGAAGTATCAATGTTGGATTTATCATTTAGCAATTATGATTAATAACCAATTTCAATAGTATTAAATTTAATAGGGTAAAATAGATATCTCAACATATACTTTAGAATTTTAAAATCCCTGAGTGAAATTTTGTTTGTATTACTAGCACCTGAACAATGTTATTACTATATCATCTCATAATGTGTTAAAGTCAATTGAAAAAGAATGTATGGGGAAGATGGTATAAACATTTGCCTAGCACGGTGCCAAGCTTGAAGTGAATACTTAAAATTTTTATTGCTTGCTTAATGAATGGCTTTTAGGCTTCTTCACCAATGAACCAATAAACAGGAATTTGGGGTATTATGCATCCAGCATGAAAATGAGAGGATCTTATTTTTAACTATAATTGATATAGAATGTTAAGGCCATTTTAATGGATTAACAGTTATGGTTTTATAATTACAGTCATTGATAAAGTTTTGTTAGTCTTAGAATATTGTTCTGATTATGCTAAAGTTTACCTAAAGAAATAACTATTTGGAAGAAAGTTTTGTGGTTAGCTACTTTCATGTGAGCAATAGATTTTGGTCTATAATCAATAGATTTAAAAGTTATTGAGATGTACCATGGATAATGGAACCCGACGGAGAAGACAGAGCCCAGGTTGGAATCCCTGGGTCCAATCCCTGTTTGTGAATGACTTTGGAACTATTTCTTACTTTTTTTGATTCTTAATTTTTTCATCTGTATGATGTGGGATATGTATAGATGACATCCAATATAACTTCTAGTTCTTATGGTCTATTCTATTCTAAACCACAGAATATATAACATAAACATGAAAAATCTAAGTACTCATTATATAATTATCATACACATTGAGATGAAAGTAAATATTGTCTCAGTGATAAGATAAGTGGTCAGACTAATTTCAAATTGTAGTAATAAGGTTATCAAACCTAAACACTGTAGAATTCTTCTACATGCTGCTTAATTCCTTTTTGACTGCTTTTGTCAAACAATGCGAAAATGAAAAATTGGATGTAAAATCCAGTAAAAATGAATATACATGATTATTTGTGATAAAAAATATTTATAATTAGAATGCATTCACATATGTAAGTTTTATTTGTGTTAAAAAATTTTAAACCATTAAACAAAAACATTTGTAAATGAGCACAAAATGTTAAAGTAATTTTGTAGTTTGAAACACAGTTTAGCACTAACCTTGAGTAACCATAAAGCCAATTTGGTAAGCCATTTCTCCTCTAACACTGGTTCTACAGTAAGAAAGAAAGGAAGAAAAAAGGAAGGAAGGAAAGAAGGGAAAAAGGATAGATGAAAGGGAGAAAGGAGGAAAGCAAGACTTTCTATATCATTATAAATTAGAATGCAATAATATCAATGTACTAAAAGACATGATATATATATATATATATATATATTATATAAAAATCTTTGTTGCTATAAGCTTTTTCATAGGCTGTGTATATAGTATACTTCCTTGATATGGTAAATTGTCCTGGTAAGGGAAAATTTCATCGGGATCCTTAAGCTAAACCACAAAACTATTGTCAGGTTGTGCTGCTATCCTACTAAGGAAGGAGCAAATCAGGCTTCTCAATAGTTAAAAAAAAAAAAAAAGATAACTCACTGTTGTCTATAAGAAATCCTAAGATAGAGAAGAAAATACTCCATTGAAAAATATTTGGAGAATAACTTATTCAAAAAGAATTCTGATAGTCATTTCTTATTATTTAAGGGGCAGCCTTACTAATTTTAAGAGTGAATGCCCCACACATAAAACATGAAAATTGACATATGCACTACTGTATCCAGGTACAAAGAAATACAAGTACAAAGAAAGGGCTCAACAGAATTTGTTTAAAAAGTCAAAGCAGATGAGAAACTTGAAATGACAAATATAAATATTGTTCACATTCCTTACTCATTAATTGAATGTATGAACGAATGAACAAAAGATGTTTCCTTCCTATTTTCATGAAAATGAGAGTTAAAAAGCAATTAGGTTGTCTACTGGAGTAAAATGCAGCAGAGTTCAGAAAGTGATAAAGATCAGAATCAAACTCTGAATTTTGTTTTCAATATTCTGATTCCTTAAATTTGTTAACAAGTTGTTAAACACCCTTCTTTGGGGGTCTTTTAAGGTGATATAGATTTAAATTTCTTAGATGAGAAAATTTTGCATGAGAAGTTAGATATCAGTTATATGAAGCATGATTGTTTTCTGAGTTATCATAAGTGTGTCCCCAGTCCATTTTCATGGCTTTGCTTTGAATGAAATGGAAAGTGACCTGAGGATATTAATGGGTCTTGAGGGACTGCTTACTTCACCCGTATAAGCATAGCTTCTTCATAAGTGTGTAGTTTATAAGATATTGCTAAGATAATGGATTAGAATGAGTAGGGAAGGTGGAAAATCTGGGTATATATTTCTGCTTCCAGAAGGTGTTGGGCTGGGGTAGGTGGATGGAAGGCCTGGAGGAAGAGAAGGGCAATGGAAAGGAGGTAGATATGATAGCTCGTGTCTCATGTCTTTAGGAAATTTAAAAAATTACTTAAGCTATCCTGGGTTGTGAAGATCTTCGTTCAGTCTTATCTTAATCATAGTTTTGTCTGGTGAAATGTTTTAAATTTACATTAGAATGGGTAAATTGCAGATAGAGTGGACCAAGGAACCCAAAAGAAATAAGACTTGTATTAGTAGACATAAGCTAGACCCAACTATGGAAATGTAGGAATCCGTGAGAGGATAGGCAATGCAGGGCCACATTTCTGACCATCCAGGGCAGAGAAACTGTTACTGGAAAACTGGCCCTCAGATCGCACACTATTATTACCCAGGAGGCAAGTAATCTCTCCTCTCAACTTGTTCTTTCTGGTGGCTTCACATTTAGCCTTACAGTAGGTTTCTAAGTGATGAAACTAGAATCTAACCTGAACTAATAATAAGGGTATTAAAAGCATAAAATGTCCCTCCAAAATGAAATATCATGTGCTCTACAGTGGGAGAGCATTAATAGCATCATAAAGGGACTGTCAATGGATAGTCAATACGTCCACTGCTGTTGTCAGAACTCTCCCCTTTGGCACAAGGCCAGAGGGTGAATTTAGATAATTGTTGGACCGGGCAGCCCATCAACAGACAGAAGCAATCACTCCACACCTGACAGAAATAACAGTGCTGCGTAAGTTGGGAATTGAAGTGTTGAGTGAGAGACAGCAGCAGTGCACTGGGCAACCAACAAACTCCCGGAGAGACAGATGTGGAACAGAGGACTCAGTCCCTCAGGATGATTTTCTTGCTTTTGGTATCCAACTACTAAAAAGTTTTGCTCTTCCTAACAATGGTCAATATCACTGATTCCTTTTAAGAAGAAATCCTTAGTTGTCATAAGCTACCAATTCAAGAAAGGATAAGTGTCTCACTTGTCATAGTTAAGCATTGTAAGTTCCATAACAAGAAAAGGGTTAGTCATTCTGAAAATTGGCCAATGATTTGGCAATATTCTTTTTTGGATTGTTATACTGTGACGGGATATGGCCTAACAATTGGCAAAAAGCAAATAAACACAATGTTGTTGGATTTGACTTTGGATACAAAATCTTCAGCGACTCAATTGTCAACATTTCTTTGGATAAGCTCCTACTCAACAATAATCTCTGGTAGTAGCTAGCAAATATACATATCACTTCTAAATATGGAGATGGTAAGCTTGCTTATGCTCCAAGCAGTTCTTAACAAATTGTCTAAAAGAACAATAATTCATATTGTTAAAATAAAAAATAAGAAAACCAGGACTATCCCATCTTTAAAAAATAGATAATGAGGAACATATCTATGGAGTTGAACCAAAATCCTAGAATTATTGACAAAATGGAGTCCTGCAGAAGTGATGACCTGCATTTCCTTAAGTAAGTTGTCAAGGCTTTAAATTATGGAAGATGAATAAATTGCTGTGGAGTAGATTAGAAAATTTTAGCTATTCTTTGAAAAGTCTAATATTAAAGATTTTTTTTTTTTCATTTTATAATCTTCCTCTTTTGGGAGAGGGGGCGCTAATACAAATGCCTGGCTACTTATAAGGTGCTAATAACTTAATTTATTTCCACAGAGCAATAAATTTATTTATTTTTTAAATCCTCACCTGAACTCTTATTTTCATTTTTGTATCTACCCAGAGCATCTGAGCATATATTTTCATTTGTGACTCAGC